TGATATTGCTGGCTCACACAAATATATCTAATAAAAAGGGAAACAAAGGTCTCGTAGATTAATTTACTCTAATTCTGCCTAAAAGAACATCAAGTGCCATGGCTATTGAGGATTCACCTTTTTTATACTTTGTTTTATTGCTCTTTGAACAGTGTCTAATTAATAATACTGCCACACAAGTTATAAATCACTGTGAACATGCAGCTCAAGTTACCATATTGAATGATGTAACACACAAACTGCTTGGAAGCTACCTCATGAAGAATTGTTATTATTATTTTTTTTAATTGTTATATTTTAGTTACTTTTATAACAATAAATAAAAAGTACATGGAAAAACAAGAAATATAACACTTTCATTGTCATGATTCATATACAAGGGGAGATTGAGAATTTATTTTGGTATTTCCTTTTAAAATAATATTTTATTTGATTTATTAACTATGTTTTGATGCAAACTTTATTCATATACGTTGATGGTAAAGTAATTTTGAATGTAACTCTGTAGAAGGTTGTGACATGGGTACTTTACCCCTATCTATATGGAGAGGGTTAATATAATTTTAATGATTTTAGCTGTATTAAGTGATTTTGTTACCTGAACCAACACCTTTTATGATCTTTCATTTCAAGATATGTTTGAGACAAAACAGTGATGTTTATTTGTTAATGTGTCCATTACATACATCATTGCATGAGTAAAATGTTCAGTAACATTAATTGTATGAGTATCTGCCTCACAATGTTCATGATGGTAAATTTCTTATGGGGAATACTGAAAAACTGAGTTAATGCATGTAAAAGTAGTGATCATTACTGTAACCAATAATTTCCTTGTAGAAATTTAAATTAAGATCAGTGTCATGTCTTTATACTATATAAAATGTTTTTGTTTTACTTTACAGATTTTGTTCAGAATATTAATGTGGTAACTGAGAAAATTGCTATGATTATAGACTAGTTTATTGGTTTGCTAGTTCTTCTAATGCTGAGTAAAAGTTAATTCAAGTAAAAAAAAGTAGTAGTAATAAGTGGTGTTGAAATACATAAATAATGTTATTAATTTTTATTTGTAAATAATTTCTATAGAGTTACATTTCACCAGTTTAAGCTAGATCACACCATGTTGTTCATGCAATTTGTTTTATAAATAGCATTACCACTACTATATCTGGCAGTTGTATCCCAGCCAGCTTGATGAGTCCTGGTGTTGGGCAAAAGGCCTTGTTGACAATAGATGTAGTATGGGTGACATTTATTAATTTTCTTCCTTACTTTCACTCATTAGTTCTTAGAACACATTACGTATTGTTACTATTTGATTAGATGATGTAAATAAAAATTATATTTATGCAGGTGATTTGGAATGATATGAGAGAATCTGTTTAACTTAATATTCTGCAGTAAAAGTACATGTTTGCATTTTCTTTTATTTCAGACCTGGAGATGTATTAAGATTGAAAATGATACCTATTTTTTGCCAGAAAATGAAATGTAAACATATGGCAAAGAAAGATACAAACACAACTAAAGAAATTCACATGAAATCCTTATTCTGGACATTTAATGAATAGTGTTTTGAAACTCAGATAGCCAACTTCTTAGTTTAAGCAATCTGGCTGTTTAAGCTGTACACAACAAGGAATATCTGCATGAGATGAGGTAGGAAAAGGTTGTTTTTTAATAGACTAGAAACTGAAGACTGCATACCATGTTGTTAAATCAGACCGAAGTCCTAGTGTATTATCCTACAGTCCTAGATTACCTACATTAGTGATCATCTCCAACTTACAAAACTTTTTTCCACTCTTTCACTTTGATATGACCCACACCTCAGGGGAGCAATATCACAAACCACTAAAGCTTGGTCAAACAAGGATAAACTTTGTGGAATGGCCACTGCAGTATATAACCTTGGCCAAGGCAATGTGTAATGGAAGTTTCTCACTATTAACATTCTGTTCAGAAAGATACTAACTGCAGAATACCTGCATAAAAAGTTTTCAGAAAACTACCTTAGTATACCTGAATAAAGATGTTTTCATTTAGTTACAGAATAATAAAATGTAAGTTTTCAATTGCTTTATTGCTATTCTTTGATTTATCATCTCAAAAATATACATCCTGATTATTGAAATGTAGTATAAATTTCAGTTCACTGGTTCATTTTAGCATCAAGAGGGTATGTAAAAAACTTAATTTTCATTGTATGTGCATGCATTGCTGTGAAAAACAATTTTAATTACAGGAAACAAAAAATAGTATCACAGTGATAAAAAAACAATAGACTAAACAATTAAAGACAGTTTCTATATAAAAATGTATAATTGCATAGTAATATTTGATTTTTGCTGTTAACATTAAGGTTTTTTAACTAAAATTTCTTTAGTATTTGTTATACTCTATATTACTTTAAGCATTGATGTGCATGATCAACCCTTTAGTTATAGGTAGGCCAAAGTGTGTATGTCATTACATTTTTTTAAAGTTACATTTAAAATTTGATTAAACTACTGTATTATAATCAACTTGACATCAAAACATAGCTTATAATTCAAATTTTAATATAAGTTTTAATTTAAAAAATATTTAAATTCTCAACCTTCATTTTTGTATATCTCATGACACTTCTTTGTTCTGAATTGCACATTTTAGAATTTCTTTCCACCTCCATCTTACTTTCTACATTTCTGAAGACTTATTTACTAACAGGTTAGATATCCCTGAGCTAAAATTAAATCTTGTAACATCTGTTCTTGCTTTAATGAATTGTATGCTATAAACTGAAACTTGTGTGCCATGCTCCACCTAGCACATACTGTTTTTTAAAAAATCTGAATAATTCTCTCTGACATTTGCTATTGGATTATTTATAACCAATAAAAAGAAAAGATTTTAATTTAGTGCTTTCATCATGATGTTAGCTCATTCTCATAATCAGGTTGAGTTGTTCTATGTCAATTTTATAGTTTGTTATTGCTAAGGTAAGGAAAATATTTTAATGCACATATAGCTCATCTAGAAAATCATTTAAATTATAAGTTTTATTACATTGTATTTTTGATGCATGTTAATGTTTTGTGTTCTAAGTTGCATATTGGAATTAAAATTTGGTGAAGTATTAATGGTCCTCTCCCTCCATAAAACAAGGGGGGGGGGGGTAGCTTTCATTTGAGACTTCCAGAGCAAAAGGTTAAAAAGACCCATCCACAAGTACTACATTTCTTATTTTTTATATATGTATTTCTTATTTATTATTATAAAAGTAGCTAAAATGTAAAAATTTGAAACTTTATAGGTTAGATAATAAAAATGGAGAACATTAAAAAAAACTAAAAAAAGTTGATGACACAAGCATGTTTTGTAGATGCAGCATGTTGTTATTTGACTGAGCTTGCTGGTAACCTAATGTTACAAGATCAGTCAAATAGGCTGAGCCTGTATATGGTGTTAGGGAAGAGAAAATAACAGATAAAATATGTAGGTTTACTGGAAAAAATGTTAAATTTATTTGCAAGGTTTTAGAGGTTATACAAATGAAATTTGAAAACTGTAAAATGACAAAAGTATTCTTGATAATAACCTGAAAATCATCTACCAGTCAAGTATTTGGAGTCTGAGTAAAACAGACTCTATAAATGTACACACAAAATGTTTGATAAGAAATAATTAAAAAACTTATTTTTTGATTAGAAAATACTTGTATGTATGTTAAAATCTTGCTAAATTTTGTGCAGAAACATGTGCTACATTAAAAGTTTTAGTGTGTGTAGTTTCATGGTTACATGGTGGTTGAAAAGTTAGTCAAAGTTACTGAGACCATATATGGAGAGTTAAAAGTATACATATAATAAAAATGGTGTTCATTGCCTTATCTTGTATTCATTAATATGGTTATATCTCTGCAACTTAAATTTTAAAAAAAACTTTGGCATTGACTCTTGAAATCAGACATTTGTTCCAACAGTTAATCTTCAAACTTAGAAGACTTGACTATGACTTTGAGTTTTAGGCATAATTGTTAAAGACCTAGGTAGTTTTTTTTTTTGTAAAACATATTTATCTATGTCATAACATTTCTTTTCATTGTAATCCACTCAAAAACTAAATATCAAAATCATGCACAATGAAATTACTAAGATAAAATTTAAAAAAAGGTTTAAGATGTTTTTGAAAGTTAGAAACTTCTAGTCTTTATTGATAAGTGATCAGAAATTGTTTAAGTCTTGAACATACTGATAATATATATACACACACAGACAAAATAAATATATATAAATACAAGTCTGTCTCTCCTGTTAGTGGGAATACACAATATGTCAGATTTAATCTCTGAAGAGAAAGTGGATCTTTATGTATGTATGCTTTAAAATCTGAAATTATTTTGGGATTTAGAAGTAAAAATTATTAATAGTTTTGTTTTAAGTTCACTTACCGATTAAGTATTTTATTACAAGTTACAGCTTTTACAGTAAGGAAGATTTGATTTTAGAACAGATACAACATTTCAATCACTGGTGAGATCATCCTCAAGTTCCCAAGTTTTAACAGTATAGAGGATTTTAGTATTTAAATCAACATTCAATAATCTAGCAATGTATTTAAATTTTAGAATTGATAGTGGTTACTGATGCATATCAATATGTGTGAATTGACAGATTATTTATCTGTGGCTGAACAGGAAAAATGAATATTCATTTTTTGGTTGTTTTTTCTGTTCAGCCAGGAATAAATAATTTGTCAATTCATTCGGATTGACATGCACATGCATAAGTAATCACTATCAATTCTAAAACTTAAATACATTGTTATATTGTTTAATGTTGATTTAGATACCAAAACCTTCTTTACAGTTAAAATTTGTGTACTTGAGAATGATTGCACCAGTGATCAATTGCTGTACCTGTTCTAAAAACAAATCCTTGCTGTAAAAGTTGTAATTCAAAAAAAAAGTAAAACTTATTGTATAATACTTTTTAACTACAATTTTATTTCAACAGTGTCTGGAGTAGGAGTGAGTAAAGTTCATCTCCTATCAGACAGCAACAAAACTGAATACATCTTGCATGGAGAAGGTGCTACCATAACTTGTCATTATATATTGGATCCAACAGAAAGTGTTACTGCAATCTATTGGATGAAGGATGGAAAAGAAGTTTATATTTGGAGACTTGGGCAAAAGCCACTTCCCATGGGTGTTCTTAGAGGCCGAGTGAATGAGAATAATTTGTCTACAAGTACAATAGAAGTTAAAGAAGCTCACATGGACATGCATGGAACCTACACCTGTAAAGTAATAACCAACAAAGGAATGGCACAAAATGAAAAATACATTATGGTTATTGTAGGTAAGTTGTATTGATAACTTTAATGCAGTGTTCAAGATTTACAATTATAATTATTGGTATAAAAAGCTTAGTTAGTTTTTTTTAATCAAATTACGTAAGTTATGCCTTTGCAGAATACTAGTTACTTACATCTGTGAAACATACTGAACACATGTTGTGTGATTACTTGATTGACCCATGTAAATGTTTAAATATAGTCATATTGTAGTTAGTTTTGTAAACCATGTATAAGAGCATTAGTCTGACCTACTTTCAGAGTTGGATAATAGTGTACTGTTGGAATATGCCTGCCATTGAAAAAACTGCTATCTAACTGTACACATTCCAGAATCTAATGAGACCTTAAGTTGAAAACAACTTTGGTATTGGCTAACTTTCAGTATCTAAATATGTATCAATTTTGACTTCTGAATAACATGGCTTATGTCAAAAATTACTTGTATTTTCTATATAATAGCAAAATCAATTGAAAAACATCAAATCCCATTTTTATTTACAACATTTAATATAATTATCAGTAGTTACCACATATTGTTAAATGGATAGAAAGAAAGAGAGAGAAAACTGTTTTTCACATTAACAGTTACCACATGTTTATAGATCAAGGTATAACAAAGTACGAATCAGGAACAAGTCTTTAGTGAAATTGCTTGGTGGTATTCATTTGTTCAGTTAGGATTGCTGAGTTGAAAGTTGTGGACAAATATTAAACTTTTGCTGGCCAAAAAATCAAGATCACTGACTCCAGAGTACCTCAGATTACTAAACAAACTAACCCCACTAAAGAACATTGTTAATTGGGGCTACTTGATCACAATTTAGTTTCAGGTACCCTTTTTTGTGAAAAATTTACAAACAGCAGAACAAGTGTAATATTCCATCATATAGAAACATGGGCAAATAAGAAAGTGGGGAAAGTTAGGCTTAGTAGATTTGCTTTTAAGTACAAAAGTATAACATGGGTTTGTAATAGGTAGTTTATTGTGAGGCAGTTACCAAATTAGAAATAGTATTTATGTAAATACCAAGAATATGCAATCAGTGGCAATATTACACAGATCATCAACTTAAGAAGGTTCACATGAGAATAATGAAACACTCTTGTTAATGAGGAAATAAAATACAACATTTATTGATAATGTTATATACAGTTATTCTTAACAATGTATCGTGGGTTTAAATATTAAGATATTCAATATAAAGACTTGTAATTCTTGTACACATTTAAGTTTCTAAACTTCAGAAAAACTGAAGCTTGTACCATTTCCCGTATTAAGTCAGGCTGACTGATTACTATCATTGTAGTGTAGTTTTAATTGCTGTGGGGTTTGTGAGTGTGAGACAGAATTTTTTAACAAATCATGAGATTTTTTTCTAGTAAGGACTTGAATATTTCTCCTAGAGGTTGTAGGAAATGTCCTACACAAAATTTCATCATTGGCTATACCATTAATCTTCACTGCAGATTTGAGACAGCCTTTGTGAATGACACTGTTCACCACATGCTCTTTAGATCATTTGTATACTAAGTCATGTCAAATATCTAATGCCTTTAAAGTCTGTTTTTGTCTGAATAGAACTATCCATATATATTCATATCAGATATGTTTTACCATTGGCTACTAACCAAATGTTCAAAATTCATTACTCAAACTTTTCACATGATATAGTGTAATTCCAGTTAGTTGTGTAAGATGGATCATTATCCAGTGCGATCAAAATTAACTGGTGGTTTTTTATTTATATTAATGCCATTTTGTGAAGGTTTTTGTATGTCTTTTTTTTGCCATCATGCTGACACGAAATTTACTTTATTGGTAATACATATTCCTAACATGTGTAAGTGTTCTTAACATTTCTACTTTCATAACATGTTAGATGTGACTAGTTTAATCAATTTTTTTCTTGTTTGTTTAATTAAGATTACTTCAGTTTCTCTAAAAATTACTTCTGTCTTTTTCTAATGATTTAAATAAGATTCCTCCATACTTTTTAGTATAGTTAAATTAATCTCATTTCATCATTTTCCTTTAATAATTTCATCCCTTCCTATGAAAAATGTTCCTTGGATTCAAGGAAATTTTTCACACAAGTCTCGGGTTCTTTCACATCGTGGTTCAGAATAAAACTGTAGTAAAATCAATTTACTACAATATCTCCCTTACACCATAAAAATCAGGGGTAGTTTGGAGTTGGAGGAAAAGAGGAAACCAGGGTTGTGCCAGCTAGTAAGGAGCAATCAGATGGACCTGGCACAGAGAGGAATGGATGACCAAAATCACCTTTGGAAGGGGCCTGTAGTTGTAAAGGTACTAGTTTGTTCAGTCTTGACTGAGAACATCCACTGCCAGGGCCTGTGGATGAAAAACCTGAGAACCAAAAAAAAAAAAGAGAAGACAACTTGGAGGTTAGGGAAGTGGCAAAAGCATCCAGGTGAGGAGTACCCCCTCTGATTGCAAAGCCACCAGAAGACCTGAGGGTCAAAGACGATCTGTCATGAGTTTAAAAGCACATACTATGAGATGTATCTGTAGTGTGTGTGTACCCAATAAAGTAATTCTAATGTTCAACCACAAGGAAATTGAGAACAGGTGCCTCCTTGGTGATTGATATGAGACAATGTTGTGAATGATCTCAAGCATGTTACACCACCAGAAGCTCCAAGATGTTGATATGGTATGATATTTCTATCTGAGACCATTGTCTGGAAGCCTTCTGCTGATCAACCCATGCCTCCAACCCCTCAGAGAAGCATTGGTGAATAGATGCAAATCTGGATGAGGAAAAGTAAGTGAGGAGTGTAAGGGATCACAAGCAAGATTCCATTGGTTGCACAATGTCCACTGAAGAGAAGACATGTTCACGACCTAGGGGGATAAGGCTTCCATGGAAGCCCAAGTCCCCCAAATTGATAGAACCTTACATGCAGAAAGAGAAGGAGAAGAAAGGGAGTGGAGAACTGAAAGCTGTATTGAATGCAGACGAAGTGGAGAAGGTTGGGCCTGACTGAGGCAAGTGTTGAAAACACACCTAAGTGAACAAGATATTGGGTAGGAATCAGGAAAGACTTTATCAAAATTGGAAATATAATTCTTCCTCTAATTGTCAAAATAAAAGGCTGTTACTGATATTTCTTACTAGTGTAAATATATAATATGTTATTGTTGGACTTAGGATTCTTCTACAGTAGGTGTCTGTGACGTGTTAGCGATAAATTCAACGATAAATGAACAGCATGCACTTCAAAGTAATCTATATTCAGAACAAGTTAAACGTATGTACAACAAATTCTTCACACCAGAGATTATAGGCATATCATAAACACTAAATATATAGTTCTCTTCTTCTGTCAAAAGTCCACTTGGGTATATTCAATCACTTTAGAATTTCAGTTGACAAGCTGAACTATCTTTTCTATTACTGTCACACTAGTTTTCTGTGTTTCATTCACTTACAATTGTGGTGAGAGTTACTGTAATCGTATGGTCTTCGTTTCCAAAATATTCTCTGTTCCTTTTGTCAAATTGCACTCAGGCTGATTCAGTTACTTTAGAACCACGCATTGATGGAAAAAATTATTATTCTTATCTCCTTTTCTGCTGTTATTCTTACTCTAACATATTAAATGTTAGGCCTCTGTTAATTGTAGGGCCTGTCACTTCTACTGTAGTTAACTTTATGCCAAACTCTTCCTTACTTGTAACCTTACTTTTTTTCTGCTATTGTCTGTTTGCTGTTTCCACTCATCTCACACTATTTATATCTCTATCACTTAACCATTTGCCTGCTTTCTAGAAATCTCTATATTCTCCACGTCAGTGTATTGCAAACGATGTTCGATAGTCTCAACATCAATAAATTATAAACACAACTTCCTACAATCTTCTGCTTTTAACTCTCAACTAAACAATAATAAATTATCCATTCACAAAATAAATTAAACATTCTTTTATATCATGACAGACTTCTCTGTCTTGAGAATCTAACCAACACGAGCTGATACTGTCAATAGCAGATGAGTGTGTTGAGAAGAAATCAGTTCAGAAGGAGCTAACAGAAGCCAGTCATCCATGTAGTGGTTGAAGTGCAACCCTTGAGCATGCATAAGTCAGGCTAAAGGCCATGACCACTGACAAAATACATACAATGCTGAAGCAACCTGAAAGGTAAAGTGCAAAACTGAAATAAAACCTGTTGTGGACAAACAGAAGATAGCATCGGGACTAATGAGAAATGGGAATATGGAGGTAAGCAAGCGAGACATGTACGTTGGTCATTCACAGCCTGGAGAAAAAGCCTACTGAAGGGTGTGAAAGGATTCCATGGTAAAGCTGGGAAGTTCCAGAAATTGGTTGAGGCAGGATAGATCGATCACAGGATGCCATCATAAACTTTAACACTTTATCTCTTAACATCATGGACTTAATAACAGTTTTTAGTTGTACACAGCTTACATCCCTTACTTCTGTGCTGTCACCACTCCTTCTAATTATTGTAAACACACTTGGTTTTATTTCCCTAGTCTTTACTCACACTTTGCCATATCTTTTCTTTCTTTATCATACATTTTCTGTCATCATTATTATCATGTCTTTGCATCTATTAAAAATGGTATCAAATAATCATCCTCTGTATCTTTTCACTCATTTATTTGACTTCAGGTTGTTGTTACATCATTAATATTTTAAGTAATCCTGAAGTTTTTAAATACCTTTGTGGATTATAGTTAACTAACCTTATGAGTTGAATATGTATTTATAAATTTTTGGTTTGTTTTAAATCATCCAGACTGCTTATGAGGAGGTAATGCTTTTATTATTTCTCTCACAGTTATGTTTCTTTCTAACCACAGCTTAAATTCTGCTAATGTATCACATGATTGATGCATACAGTTAGTGAACATAGAGCTATCAATATCAAGTTAATTAGTTTCCAGGAATTAAACAGATTTCTTTCTGACACTTCCATTAATTTGTTCACCTGTTGAGTGAAATCTTTAA